TAGTATCGGCTGCAGCTCCCGAGCCAATTCGCATAAAGTTAGACGTATCCATCGTTTTTCATCTGTTTCATTTGCTTTCCTTTTATAATCTCCATCCTTCTAGGAAGAGACATCGCCAAGAGGATTATGAGGGACAAAATGAGGTCAAGAAAAGACGATTGCTGCGAGAAGAATCAAGCTTGTAATTAGCTTGAAAGGCTACAGGTGTGGGTCTATGTATGAGATGGGAAATTAAAGTCGAGAATATGCAAATTATATACCATTAGAGGTGCTAGGCCAAAGGTATAGGTGTGTCAGAGATAGGTCTACAGTGTGTGTATATGTGTGTCTTTGGGCATTTTCGGCTGTGCGCCCTAATAAGAGGCGACTGATGACATGCCTGACCAAAAAGGGGGACACCAACAAATGTAAACAAGAACAGCTGACCCTATGATTAAGTGGGATTGTCAACCTAGTAAGCAAGAGGAGTGTGTTTTACTCGATTCAGGAGTGGAAAAGGGAAGCGATAGATTTTCACACCGGCGTTTCCGAATTAAGCCGGACGCGTGGGCAAAAAGAATGAGATGCAATGTTTGTGGGGATGAGAAAGAGGATAACTAGCTTTGGGTCTGAAGCCTAGAGAGAGGAATAGGCCTAGGCATGTGCATCACAGACTCTAAATCCTCGACTATAACGTTAACGGATATGGAAATTAAGGGCTCACAGACAGCAGATTTCAGACAGCCTGACAGGGATTTGGTGTGTAGCAGGAACCAATTGAAAAGCAGAATGGAAGTCAGAAGCTCCGCAAAATTCAACTGGAACTTCACTAAATCCACTTGAAGCAGCACACTCTTAGGCGAACTTGGAGAACACGAGAGCACCGAATTGTGTGAATGCGTAAATGGGCTATATGAAGTGGTGTTGATTCGACCCTATTTCGGCAGCATGGTCGCAGCGTCAGGGAGACCTTGTTGAACGTACCTAGTTCTGCGTCTTCTGCTAAAGTATTCGAGATTTCCAGATTCGGACCATTGAATTGGTACATTCTCAAACATTTCGCCGGCATCATAGTCGACATCGTCAGCACAGAGTTACAACTTATCAGAGTGACAAGTGAAGGCAATTCACTTGACCAATTTTCTATTCAATCGCTGTGGCTTCACTCCTCGACGTTATTTTTTTCTATCTTATAGTGCTGCATCTCTTTCTGTCAACACCACTTGCAGCACCCTGGGCCACTTGTGGGAGTGTAGAGTGATTGTAAGATGTCGAGAGAATAAGCTGTAAAACTCTTGTGCGAGTCCCGCTGAGGGTTTTGATAAGACCTAGGCAATGTCGAAATTGCAACCAACTCTTGATGAGAATACCTTTTGGGAAGCAGGGCTATGTGAAATTCAAAGAAAATGTGAGGCCTGTTTATATCATTAAGAGAAGGTTCAACTAATAGTGCCATATCACCTTAGGCGACCATGGCTGAGTGTAGCTCATATTCAGGATTAACTCATAGGTTCCAAACCTACTCTAAAGGAATATCTACAGCAAGGATTCATCGGGGTCACAGGACGGTCTTCCGAGGACATATTCGCACAAATCTACAATCAACGCCGCTTAAAAGTTTTCGTTGAGACCAACCTACGAATTCTTTCCACTCGTTTTTTAAAACGAAATGAAAGGTACTTCAACATAAATCTATTAAGGAATTCTTCGAAAACCAATGTTTCCACATATAATTTTTGTTTATCCTCCTCCACTGCATATATCCATATTAATAGAAAGTTTTGAGGTAAAAAGAAGAATAAAACGAGGCTTTGATATCGTTAGACATTCTTTAAAACAAGACGGATAAGCCCGTTATTTTTAACTTATACTAGACAGGATTACAAGTGCCCGCAGCCAACTGGCTCTACTCCAATAATGTCTGTCTCACAACGTCTACTCTAAATTTACTCCAATTTCTTTAAATACTGCCCACGATAATAAAAGCATTGATTACACTATGAATTTACAATTGCTACTTTGTACATTACAGTTCATAGAACGATAGGAATAAATCATTGCCTATCATTTCATCCAACTAACTGAAGCATGTAATGCATCATCAACTTACCGAACGATGTCCAGATGTTTCCTGGTCTCTTCCAGCCGGATCTCGTCAATGTGCAGCTTACTTGCTCTCTCGTCCAGCTTGCGTCTTTCTTCATCGAGCCGATCCCTCAGCGCGTTCAATTCAATCTTTAGCTAGGCATCAAAAACAAAAGGAACAATGCAATTTGCTAAATATTTCAAGAAAATGCACATAAATTTTCGTCTACCTCTCTGTCTAAAATAATGAGGTGCCAAGCATATCGCTGTTCAATGACGATGTAAGATAATCGCCTGGGAGTGTACTAAATAGATTTCCGAAGCTGATACCAAAATAAAGAACTAAAAATCTTATTCCCCATACTTACGATTAAGATTTTCACATTTGAATCTGACGAACCTGGCTAACTTAGTCACGAGTTGATATTAGTGATTGATCCAAAGCATAGATTATATGCGACTCTTCATTATTTAACATGGCTCTACTGACAGACCCTCAGGGATGAGACTAAAATATCTCTCCCACTTCTCTGATCAATACTCTAGCGTCCATGATCCCATGAATGAAAAGGTC